AAAAGCAAACATATGATATCTGTTTGTTCTGGTTCATATCAAGATAACCTTAAAATGATGAAACAAAATGATTCGAAATCCCATCCATGGGCTGACAAAATCTGTTGAAATCCAGAAACAGGGAACCAAAGGCGAGTGAATCGGCCCAAATTTGAGCGGGGCGTTGCTGCCGTCCTTTTCGACCTTTCGGTCTTGAACCGCCTAAGACAAAAACCAGATGGGCCCAAAAAACGATTCAGGGACGAACAAAGGCTGAGTCCCTCTCTTGAAATTGATGCAACTGAAACCGAGATCCAAGTTCCTGCGAGATCCCTCGGAATGCCAAACAGATCTACGTGCGTGCGAAAGGTAGACCTTCTGCAAACATGCCGAGTCTTAAGTGAGCACAACTCGCCAGAAACAAAAGCAAGAAGGCGCACTCCATTTCCCACGTCCGTTTGGGCGAACCAGTCATTTTGACCGTGGCTCGCATGCGACCATGCAGAAACTCAGCTGTATAGCAGGTAGAATTCGTGTCAGACATGCTCGTCCCTTTTTTTTGGAGAAGGAAGTCACCTCCCTGGAAGAGGGGGGCCTTTGGGGGGAAGACAAGCAAGAAACCATTCCCCGCTTTGAAGATTTTGCACACGCTTGTGTCGTCCGTTGATGTTTCAACCTCAAAAGGTGAAGCGGCTGCTTTGCGTTTGATATGGAAGATTTGGCACCCGACATTAGACATTCCATTCGAAGACGTGAGGCGCACACGGAACATGTTGCTTGTCCGCACACGCAAGATACACTTGCCCGCCGGGTGAACCGGAAAACACGGCACCACTGCCCACAAAGGAAACCAAGCTGCAAGCGAGTGGGCGCTTTGTTCTCTGCAAAGGTCTCCAGGCAAATGGAGCAGGACTCAACCTGTGGCGCGGTCTCTTTACGAGGTAGACTTAAAACCAGCTATTCCACTTCGGAGGATTCAACCACCCCTTTGAGCCTACTGACCTTGGAGCTGTTAAGAATGAAAGCCTGGTTTGGATGTGGGTCTTGGAATGTGGGGTCCTGTCAGCGCAGATGTCAGTCCTCCCAAAGCTTGGATTTCGCCTAGGCCTAGGTCTCTCCAAGGGAGCTTCACAAAAATGAGTAGACGCTTTGGCTTCCCTGACGTCACCGGCATGTGTGTGTGGCGGCATCTGGTTTGTCTATGCTTGCAGTTGCTGACTTGCTTTTCTTTTGTCACTTCTGTTTCGCTGGGGGGGAATTCAAGCTGTTAAAATTTGGTACGCAACCGGCCAAAGCCCGGCAGCTGGCATAACAAGCTGGTGGGCCCGCTTGGTGGATGGTGTTTAAAAGGAAAACTGCCAGAACTCCAGCCATCTTTAGGGATCCTCCGTTTTTTTGGACACCCCTGCGAATTTAGCTTCTCTTCACCCTATCAAGTGGCCTCAACTGGGCCTCAGGGATGGCTGGAGACCAATTTGGCACGCTGATTGTCTCGTCCCTCCAAATGGACCACAGACTACTGGCAGTCTCACATAACCTCATGCCACACTTTGATGGAAACAGATCAATCCGCAGCTGACCAGAGGGTCCCACTTTGGCAAGGAAACCATATCTATGTTTTGGAAAGAGGGGGCGGGGGTTCCTCTGGCCAACGTGTCCTCCTCGTTAAAACCCGTTCACATTTAGCTTCAGTCCCCTGGAAAAACGTACGCATATGTCCAGTAGTGATACATTCCCTTCAAAACCCAAAAGAAGGACATCAATATATATATATATATACACACATATGCGTTCAAAACCAAAAAAAGGACCATAAAAAAAATGGTCCAAAACCAAAAAACCGGGCCACAAATGGCCATAAACAACACAAATTGACAGCAAATGGAAGCCACGTCCGCCCCGCCATCCCATGCGCATCCCATGCGCATTCCATGCGCATCCGCACTCGGCGCGCCTGCAGCCTCTCCGCCGTGGCCTTGGCCCTCTCCTGCTCGATTTGGGTCAAGGCGCGCTTGCAGCGCCGGTAGCGGCGCTGCTTGCGGCAGTTGTCACCTCGGCCCAAAGAAAAGATCAAAAAGAAAAACGGGAACACAAACGAGCGGTCTGTCTTTTTTAGGCTGCCACGAAAAAGATGAACTAACAGGATTGACATATTAGTCTGTCTTGTTTAGGCTCCGAAAAAGATATGAACTAGCAGGGTTTGTCCCAAAAAGCATTGCGAAGGCGGGTTCTTCTAGGAAAGAAGTGGAGCCGATTATATCATCAAGTACTTGCATTAGCTGTCTTCTTTGGGGGACCCCGAAATGGTGGGTGTTCCTTTTGGTTACCTTCAACACTTACCAAAAAGGGAAACCCTCAAAAAAAGACATAGTGACTAAAAATAAATGAATTTGGAACAATGGTACCGTATTTAACATGTGCCTTGGCTGTCCTTAAGCTGTTGGGTTCTTCAAAACGGGGTCTCGGATCCTCATAATCCAAACAAGGTGACAAACAATATTCTCCTGTAAAACATGGCAAGCACAAAGGACCACGCATCCAGTCAATATCGATTCGAACTGAGCCATTCACAAGTGGCACTGGGCTTGGACCTGAAACTGAACAGCCGACAGCTTCCCTTGGCCTGCCCCAAAACAGGAAACGTAGAGACGGTTGGACAAGCCCTCAGGAAGGGCTAAACGGGATGTTGAGCGACCCTTGCCCTGATAAGCTGGCCGCGGGCTTATCAGGTAAGCTTCTGCGAACAGGAAAGAAAGCTGTTGCCGGGAGAGATAAAGGCTGCCCAGTCAAAGGGCAAAAGCACAGTCAGCCCTCTAGTTGTGTTAAGGAATAATATATAGTTTTCGGAGATTGACAATCCCTTGGCGCAGTCGGAGTTTTGAAAAAAGAAGAGCCACTGTGGTTGGCTTGTTTGAAGGGGCGCAGAACAACAGGTGGTCCCCTATATTGGGAAACATCCAGTCGAAATAGCGGGCCCTATGGCTTCGAGCTCAGCACAACGACAAGGCGGCCCGCGCGTTGCGCGAATTGCGATTAGAAGGCTTGGAAGACTGTCCGCTTCCGTTTTGATGGAAAACTACTCGGAATTTCAGTCCGCAAACCGCTGGGCGAGCGAACCAAAAACCTTCAGGCGCAAAAGACAACACCAAAGCCGACTAATTTTGCTGGCGCGCAGTAGGGAATGAACCCAGGGGTCCCCTTAAAGGAAACCACAAGCTGAAGGGATGGTTTATAGGGGTCATGCCATTTCTCACTCCCTGCCTTTCGCACCAGCAAGTAATTCCCCTCGCGATTTTTTCAGGCATCCGCGGCATCCACCAAAGGGCGAAATGGCTACTTCATCCGGCGGTTCAAGGCACTCGCAGCCCGCAGCCCTTCGAATGACAGGAACCAGTGGGAAAATCAGATGGAACAACTTTAATCGTCAAAGCCCATGCATTTTTGGGTGATCTATAGCTCACTTTGGCCAATCAGCAAGGTTCAATGCGGGTGGCCATTCTCAACTTTGTGGGGCTGCCAACAGCTCATGCCTTGCTTGCGTACATCCAATCCCACCGGATCAGACCCCCTGCCCCCAAAAGGCAGGACCCTCATTGAAGGGTTGGAAGGTTTTGGACCTCAAAAGTGGCATTTTTGAGGGCCCAACACATTGAGGGATCGCCGTAACCCAGGTTTGCAGTTCCTGCGTCCCCACCTTCGCTTGGATCCGCACACCCCCCAACTCCCGACTTGAGGCGCCCATCACGAAAAGGAAGATGCCCCCAAAGAGGAACACGGGCACATACTGCGCGACGGCTGCCAGGCCAGACGGTCGGAAGCTCTCGCCGGACAGAATCCGCGCAACGTCCGACACGGCCTGACGATCGAAAGTGCAAAACTGAAGGCGCCTGGGAAGTGATTCGCCCGGCAAAGAATGCACTGTTTTGGTTTGTTGCGGTGATGGTTCCCAAGTCCTCCTCCAGGGTCAGAGACCATGACTTTCCCTTCATTTAACAGGGGATAGCCACCCTGCCCCATAGCCACCCTTGGAGGTGCATGATTCTTCATGAAAGTCCAAAGGGTGCCTGCGTTCCGAGAGACTGTCATAGAAGAAGTCCACCTCAACGTGCAGCTGGAACAGCCATAGAAAAACGACCCTTGACGAAGGCTTCATCCGTGTCCCCAAGCTATGTGGAATTCCAAATTTAAGTCTGTAATGGCTACCCATGGTTGCTCAAACACCAGCCCACCAAAAGGACACTCACTTTACATTGGCCGAATAGAATGACGCTCAATACTTGCTCAATGGCCTACCAAAAGGAGAAATGCAGGGGCACCAATAGCTGCTTCCGCAAAAAAGAGAAGCCGCCTGCTCTGCGGCGTCGGCGTATTGGCCATCCCGCAGCAACGGCTTCATGCGCTCAATCACCACCTCCAGCTCAGCATCCGGGAGGTGCTCCTTGCGCGAAAGCAATCAAGCAAATTTGTTCGAAGGTTAGAAAAAGGCGGAACCCTCTTTACATAGGGATCCTTACATTATACACCTGAACATTGCCTTGTAATCTCTTCCCCCTATTAATGAATGACCCCAATTAATAGAAAAAATGGAAATCCGGGGCCCGGGACCAGATTTCCACTCCGCACAATTGATTTTTAATTGCGCCAATACTAAACCAATACTAAAGTCTTGGAATCCTTATTAGGGGGCACTTTTAACAAGCTTCCAGCCCCACTTTTAAGCTGCGACTGTCTCTCCCCCGTACATGCTGGCTAACCTGCCTGGCTGCAAACAAACAACCAGTAAACTGAAAAACAAATACAATGATAGATCAAATTTCCTTATTAAACCGCTTACCCGCGGACCTTACAATTCAATCCATTTCCTCCAAATCCTATGTGAACCCTCACATTGTTGGAAAAGCCCAAAAAAAACCCAAAAAAAAATAAAAAAAATACATATATATATATATATATGTATATATTTTTGTGAGGATTTATTTATAATAGGGGAGGGGGGGCCGTATTTATTCATAGTGGGAAGA